AGAGATGCAGAGCGTGTGCAGAGCAGGGGGACGCGAGGAACAGTATTAAGAACTGTTACTTTAGAACATTAATTTTGAAACTTGTGAATCCTTTGGAATCCTTAGAAGACAGAATCGCGATTCATATATGAATAGATTTTTACGTGCACCTCTAGTTTGCTTTGTAACTTTGCAGATATCGTTTATGCTCAAACAGCAACATTAGACACTGACTAACGTTAAAAAAGTGAAATCGCAATGAACCACCCCTTTAAGACAAACTGTTTGCTCCTGATGCATTTCATCATTTGTACAATCATTACATTATGGGTTATGGGTCATTTTTAAGTTGCCATGAATAAAAGCATCTCCTAAATGAATCAATGTAAATGCGATGCACAACCAACACGTTCTCACTCCAAACTCGTCACATATTGACGCTTGGTCAGGACCCCTTTGGCGTTGCTCAATCCTCAGTTGTTTGTCTTAATTTAATGGTTTGCATGCATTTGTAAAAAATATAAATAATTTTATAAAAATGTATACTTTCATTGGAGCACCTAACCCCACCCCTACCCTAAACCTACCCACTTCTGAACAAAAACACGTAACAGGCAAATATAAGTGCAGTCACAGGTATTTATTGCAAAAACTGACCATAAACAAGCAGTATAAAATTACAAGTCTTCTATGCCATACGATGTCTTTATGCGAAGAAGAGAGTAAAACTTAAGGTTTTATTCGCTGAAAATTATCCCACTCCGTTAACGCGCTCACATCCCATTCAAAAAGATACTCCCGTACTTTAGCATGACGCAATCGGTCACGAGACAAACAAGAGCCTATAGCATTTCTCAACCAAGGCTAATGTTAGGCTTCTTCTGGCAGCATTTTTTGAATATGCGCATAGAGTGCAGCACACAGTGTCAAGTTATTTAGGGATTCTTCTCAGCCTCAATGTCTGCCCAAACTTGAAAAAGGCTTCAATCAACTTCAGAAGGTGCATGGAATAACTCAAAACATCTGATTCTTCATCATCAAAGCAATTTATTGAAAATCTTTCAGCAACAACTTGATCTTCCTTTGCTTATTTTCAGAGTTCAATTCGGATGCTTATCTCAGATACTTAGCTTAATAACCTATACAGAGAAAATATATAAATATATGAGTCACTACACACAGTAATGTGGTCATTTAAGGATGTTTAACTCATTTAAACTACAACCAATGCTACTAGAATACTCACAAATCAAAGTACAGTACATAGTGGTTCAACAGCAACACTAAACCAAATGCATTTACTGCACATGGCCAGTTAGCATATTAGATGTTAAACCCACTAGCATTAACAAACAACTTGCAAGACATTCACAACTGGTATTTTAAACAGTCTGTAGTCACTAA